AGAGTCCTACATTTCTGCTGCTGAGACATTTGTTATGTGAATTTTGCCCCAATTTACAACCCTTCTTGTTACAATTGTTAAGTGGATCGCTCCAATTGGTAAATTAGTAACACGGCTATTAAGCGAATCTGGCTTTCCAATTGACTTTGCTTATCAGAAGGTCATAAAATGTGATCCTAGGACATTGCAACTGTCATAAATATGAGTCAGTTGTAAAGCATTTGAATTTTGATCACATGATCATAGGGATGCTGCAATAGTTGTATGTAAAGCAGTCACAAGTCTCTTTCAGTGCGGTTCTAACTGCGAACGGTCATTAAATGAACTGCTGTAAGTCGAGGACTATCTCTACTATCATATTTCTGAGTGGTCATTAACCAAAGTAGTTGTTAAACAGGGTGTGGCTGCACCTCATTCTGGGCAATTTCTTGCAAAACGTCTTCAGATACAAACTTTTGGCTGGCTTTTTATAAAATAAGCCTAACCCTGAATTCACATGCCAAAATACAGCCACTTATTTAGCTGCTACCTCAGTAAGCAACTGTTCACAAATAGATAGTCCTTTACTTACCTCTTTGACTTTTATTGTTTTATCAATGTATAAAATACAAAGAAAAACAAAAATAAAACAAAACAAAAATTAAGGGAAGGAAAAAGAAAGTGAGAAAGAAAATATGAGGCAGTCCTCAACTGAGGCCAAAATTTCTGTTGTTAAGTGAGATATTTCTTGAGTTTTGCCCCATTTTATGACCTTTCTTGACACAGTTAAGTGAATCGCTTAAGCAGTTAAGATAGTAACACGGTTGTTAAGTTTCTCCATTGACTTTGCTGATCAGGTGGTTACAAAAGGTGATCGCACGACCCCCAACAGTCATAAATATGAATTTATGACCGTTGGGGGTGTGTTGTGTCATGCAATCATTAATGGATTCACTTAACAACCGTCAGGTCATGATTCATATTTATGACCATTGCCCAAATATGAATTTATGACACTGCAACGGTCATAAATATGAATCATGATCTGTATTTGGATCATGTGATCATGGGGACACCGCAACGGTTGTTTTTAAGTACGAAAAACGGTCACCAGTCGCTTTTTTTAAAGTGCCATTTTAACTTAGCAAACAGTTGTAAGTTGAGGACTACTTGTATAGTACAGTAATAAAACAATGGAAAGCTTCATTTTCCCACCAACACACACAGTCCAACCAAAACCGAAACCCAAACTCTGAACTCTGCTACTACAACTGACTACTAACACATTTCACGGGTTAATCATTTTCCTGGCCTTTTGTACCACTTTTGTATTCTCCCTTCCTCCTTCCTCCCTCCTCCTACCACCCCTGCTCTTTTCAGCCTTTAGGGACTGGATTCTCACCTGGGCCCTCTCAACATTCTGGGGGCAGAACTGCTTGAGGTGCAGGGGCCACTGTCTCTCCATCCCCATCTTCTCCAGCGTCTCTTTCATCTTCCTGCAGGAATCCAGCTTTTTTCTGCCTATCCAGGCTTTCCCGCGAACGGTGGGATCTCGTGTGGCTTCTCCGGAGCTCCCCTCTCGCGCCTCTTCTTTGACTTTCCCCAAGGAGGCCTGGAAATCTCGGACATCTTCCTCCGAGGGAGGCGAAGACGGGCCCGGAGACAGCCACGCCACGCTTTTCAAGAATTCGTGCCATTCAGAGTCCCAATATCGGTGGGTTTCCTCCTCGGATTCGGTCTTGATGTGGGGCAGGCTGCCCCTGTTCAAAAAATCCTCGATGGTCTTCACTTGGACCACGATGGGCTCCCCTTCCTCTCTCTCTGTTCCTCCTCCTCCTCCTCCTTCTTCCTCCTCCTCCTCCTCCTCATCTTCTTCTTCCACCACCTCCTCCTCGTGCACCACAAGTTCCTGTTCCTCCATAGTTGTTGTTCTCCTCCCTTGGCAGTTCCAGGAGAGGGAAAAGAAAAGGAAGAGGAAGAAGGAAACATATACATATATATATTTTACAGAGAGTCATGGAGGCCACCCGATGTTGGGAAGGAAGGAAGGAAGGAAGGAAGGAAGGAAAGAAAAAGACCCCTTTTTCTACCTCTTTAATGGGACTTAAAAGACTCTCTTAAAGAGTTGCAAAATTAAGTCCCTCGTCGGAAATAAAGCCAGATTTCCCTCCGACGGGATTCTTAGGCTTAGGTTGCTTTAAGGGGACTCCCTAACCCAAGTTGAATAAAGCAAGTCCAGAAACGGGTCGAGTTCCGAGCCGTGTCGAAGAAGCCACGTGGGGCCGGCCGATCCCGGGTCTCCCTCCAGCGTCCCCGGAGGCCTTTCTTTCTCCCCACGATCCCTCGAACCACCCACCCACCCGGAGGCCTCCCTTGCGGAGGATCCGGGGCCTTTCCCCGGGCGAAGAAGAGGCCCTTTCCATACAAAGTCCCGGCCAAGATCGCCACCGGAGCTCCTCTTCTTTTGTTCTTTTCTTTTTCTTTCTTTTTTTTTTAAGGGACAAATGGCCTTCCCAAAGGTGGAATGGAGGAGAAAAAGCCTTCCTTTCTTTTCTCGACCGATTGATTTGACTTTTACGGCCTGCTCGGTTCCACCCCAGCGGGGTTTTTTAAACCGCCGGTTGCATGCCCACCCAAAAGCCCGGTTGAAATGACTTTTTCTCGAGATTGGGGGGTGGGGGGTGGGGTGGAAACAGCGATCTATACGATCAGGAGGCTGCGCCGCCCGCGAACATTTGTCCACCGCTTCCGCATTACTTTTTTTTTTTTTTTTTTGGAAAACTAGATTTGCAATAACTGGGGGCGGGGAGGATTCTTTCATTTGCTTTTTGCATTATTTGCTTTCCCATTATTATTATTATTGCTGCCCTGGCCCGTCGTAGTAGTAGTAGTAGTATGATCGCTTGCTTTTTGCCATGCGCCTACCTACCTTTTTCCCCCCGATCGGGCTGCAGCCTCGCGGGCGATCCGCGTTCTTTTTCGGAACGGGAGGGGGTGCGTGGGGGGGGGGCGTGTGGGGAAAGAGAGGCCGAGCGGGCGTCTCTCTTCGGCGAGGCCTCTCTAGACCGCGCGACGCTCTATGGCTTTAACTGTTTCGCCGGCATTTGGCGCGCGCGCGCGCGCGCTTTCGGGCCGCGCGCGAGGAAGGGCCTTCGAGGCTGTTGCGCTGGTTTAAAAAAAAAGAAATTGAAGGAGTTAAAAGAAGTGGCTGGGCGGGGGGAGGGCGAGGGGGGGTTTGTCGTCGCGTGGTGGGAGGAGGGGGAGGGGGGTGCGCGCGGTGGGAACTCGGCCCGTTTCGCAGATCCAGGACAGGAGGAGGGATATAGAATGAATCAACCGAGCGAGCGAAGTGGGGGTGGGTGGGTGGACCGGGGGGGGGGTTTAACTTCTAAGGAGCAGGAAACTGGGGCTGATCGTTTTTAGATTAACGTTGCGAGGGGGGAGGTAAAGCGGGAGGGGGGGAGGAGAACGACATAATTTCCATGGGTATAATATCAAATATGTATTTTGTTCAAATTAAAATTTCCAAGATCTCCCTACTGCTGCATGTGGGAGTGAAGATTTCACACAATGTTGGAGTGGAATAGAATAGAATAGCAATAAGAGTAAGAGAGTAGTATAGAATATAGAATAGCTAGAATAGAAGTAGAAATAGAACGGGATTCTTTTATTGGCCAAACGTGATTGGAAACGCAAGGAATGTGTGTAATGAACTCAAAACCAACTTTCTGGATTTGCAAAACACAGTCTTACATACTAGGTTGCTTGGTTAGAATGAATCTGGTTTCCCCATTGATTTTGCTTGTCAGGTCACAAAAGGGGGATCATATGACTGGGACATTGCAATCCTCATGTGAGTCAGCCAGCAAGCATCCAAATGTAAATAATGTGACCACGGGGATGCTGCAAGGGTCATTAAGTGTGGAAAATTATAAGTCACTTTTTTTTTCAGTGCCTTTGAAACTGAATGGTCACTAAATGAACTCTTGTAAGTCGAGGACTACCCATACATGTGATGCTCCCTCTGGTTTAGGAAAGAAATCTCTCAATTCTTTTTCTGTCTCAGCTTCTGAAAACAGGTTGAGCGCCAGATCAGGAGCAGGCAAACTCTGGGCCTGTTTTGAAATCTTGTAGGTGTTCTCCCAAAATGGCTGCCAGGATGGGCCTGGCTAGATGCACTCCCAACGTGCTATTCAAAGCTCGGCATGGCTGATGGGAACTGCAATCTAGCACCACCTTCAAGGGCACTTTAAGGAAGTGCATTGTATAGACCAGTATTTCTCAAACTTGGCAATTTGATGTGTGGACTTCAGCTCCCAGAGTTCCCCAGCTAGTATGGAAATTGGCAGCTAAAGTCTCCACATCTTCAAGTTGCGTAGTTAGAAAACACTAATGTAGATTAATGATTTCCACCTTTGATAACTATTAGAAGTGTAGATTCCAGATCCCCCCAAATTCCCAACAATTGTCTAGATTAGCTGTGGAAATGTAACCTTCTGGATCAGATAAATAAATCTAACATGAATTTATTTCTATGTATGCACTCAACCTTTTTTGTGGGATAGAAATACGTTTTAAAAATAATAAATCAGGGGCCTAGCCCAGCATTCTATATATATCATGCAGTGGCCAATCTGGAAACTCATCAGCATGAACAGAGGGACTATAAATCATTCCTCTTGGGGTTCCCCAACAACTGGTGTTTAAAAGAGGCCGAGAGAGAAAATAGAAAATAGCAAAGAGCCACCAAGCAGCCACTGATAGCTAGACCCAGCCCCCTCCCCTCCACCCCATTTGTGCAGCGGGCTTTAAAGCTGCCTGCACTACTGATGGATATTTTGCATCTAATGGCAGAAAATCCCGGTTAATGATGTATTCTTAAAGTCATCCTTTCTCAGAATGAGTCAAAGGTAGACCAAAAAAAGACAACATACAGAGTGGGATCAATAAAAACACACCTTGGAGGAGAGAGAAGAGCAAAAATGTAAGATGCACAAGCTGGACCAATCTCTTTTTGTGTGTTTTTTTTTTTTAAAAAGGAGCCTTTATTTTAATCCTCACAGTGCACTAAAAATACTCAAGGAGGTCTCCACCTACTATAAAGGGGAGAACGAGGGTGATCATTCTTAGGTCTACTCATGGACACACCTATACAGTGTGCACCTTTTTATGTTTTTTAAGATCAGAGCTGGAAACGAAACTTTTGGGGCACTCGGAGCACTCGTACGGCTTCTCCCCTGTGTGAGTGCGCTGGTGCGTGATCAGGTTGGCTTTGACGCTGAAGCTCTTCCCACAGTAGGGGCAGCTGTACGGCTTCTCCCCGGTGTGCCTCCGCTGGTGCTGAACCAGGTGCGCCAGCTGGCTGAAGTTGTTGCCGCAGTACGAACAGTTGTACGGCTTCTCGCCCGTGTGCACCCGCTTGTGGGTCAGCAGCCGAGAGTTCGTCACGAAGCGCTTCCCACACTCCAAGCAGGGGTACGGCTTCTCCCCCGTGTGGGATTTCTTGTGGATGTTGAGGTTGCCTTTCTGGCTAAAACTCTTGCCACATTCAAAGCACTGGTGCGGTTTTCCTCCCGGATCAGTTTTGTCAACACTCGGAAAAGGAGATTCCCAGGAGAGCCTCTTCCGGCAGGCGGTGCTTTTGGCCGGCTTTTCTCCCTTCGGCAGCGCTCCCAAGTGAGCAGAGCTGGGCTGAGGCAAACGTCTGCTCTCAGGGCTTTTCCTCTTAGCCTTACACTTGCAGACCATCTCTTGGTTTTCGGGTCCTTCTTCGTCCCGTCTTAGGGCGGCGCTACGCTTGGGCAAGTCACTCTCACGCAGCCAGCCTTTCGATGGCTGCTCTCCAGCACCGGCTTTCTCCTGTGTCCCTGAGCTTGACTTTTTAGACAACCGTTCCTCACAAGGGCTGCATCGCTGCACTTTCTCAGTCTGTACCTTCCGATTCTTAAAGAAACCCACGCTTGGACAGAGGCCATTTTCAGCCACGGCCTTAGTTGTTGTCTTCTTCTTCTTCTTCTGATTGACGGGTGCCTCTTGACAGCTCCTCTCACTTTCACCCAAACAGCGAGCCTGTTTTAAATTTTTCCCTGGATAGTGCACCTGGTGGCTCCTGTGAATCTCTTCTGACTCAGGATTGGATATCAACTTTCCTGTGATTTTTTCTAAGGGGATGCCCCATTCCATTGGCTCTGATATTCCCAGCAGAAGAGTGTTTTGCTTCTGGTTGTCCTGTGCAGACTCCTTAGGTTCTGAAAAAAGCAAGCAAACGACCCATGAAAAACCATGAAGGGGTCATTCTTTGGTTAGATGTTCAAACTGAACTTGCTGGACAGGTCAAAGGGTCTTCTTCACCCTAAACTAAGCTGTAACAGATGGAAAACCCCTGACCAGCTGGTCTATCTAACCTTCTGATTATGAGGCGCAAATGACATGGGTTTTGTAATTTGTTAACTAACACAGTTACTTTGTATTTTAATTTATTTTCTCTCTTTTAAAATGATGTTCAGGTTTATTAGCTTTTAACATTCCTAAACTGATAAAACAAGGTGGAGACTAGCTCCAGATAAGAAAAAGTTTGTTAGTACAAATCTGGTTTTTCTCTTTCATGAACTCCAAACCTTTTTCCTTACAATTTACACCCCTTCTGACTTAATGAACACGTGTGATATTATAGGATGCAAATATGTAACATGTTTGACTACATGTAACTGATTTCCTATGCAAAGGGGAGGTTACTTTTACCCTGTCCAATCAGCTTTCCTCTTGCATTTTATTAATTATAAAAAGGAGTGAAACATGGGTCTCAAGGTTCTCTCTCTCCTTTTTCATAGAGAGATCCCAGGGTACCCTAATAAACTGTTTTTAAATGATTTTCCGATCAGTTGCTTCTTGGGAAGGTAAACTGAGGGAAAACCTAGGGCCAGATTTGGTTTTCAGTTCTCAAGACTGACTCCTACCAAACCTGGAACTAAAAATATAGCAGAATATTCTTAATATTCACAGTAAGCCCTACAATCTACTTTACTAAAAGTCTTCCAACTCCTAAAGGATTCTGTAAGATAGAAAATTCAGTCTTTGGAAGCTGAACTGCAAAAAGGCTGCCTAGTCAAAATTTAAATTATAATTTATGCATTGCAATGAATGCATTTTTCACTTTTTAGCTCAGTGAAGTAACTTACTAGAGAGTTAAGTTTTTAAAATTTTAATAATTTTAAAAATATGTGAATCCCACCTCACCCTTTTTTATGTTAGGGGAAAATGTGATTTATTTATTAAACATCTCTTCTTCCTAGCATATTCCCGCAAGTGCAGGGTCTGTTTTTTATTTATTAAACATGATGGCCTAAAATGCATATCAAAATGTCATATTGCTATAAGCTCTTTTTGTATGTTATGCTAAAGTAGTATGTTACTAACATTTTTCTAATATTTGTTCCAATGTTTTTATATGAACTGGTTATTGTTTCCACAATTGGGGCTGTGTTTACTGTAATCTTTCCCAATCTCAGCCATTTTTAGATGTGTGAATTCCCAGAATTCCCCAACCAGCATTGTTAGCTGAGGTATTCTGGGAGTTGAAGTCCACACAGCTTAAAATGGCTGAGGTTGGAAGACACTGCTCTATCATTTCAGCCACCCAGAATTTCCAAGACTTTACATTTCCAATTTCCCCCACAATGTTCTACAATTTTCCCACAACTTTATTCCCCATAACTTTAAAACACAAATTGTTTTACTTTTCCTGTTCACTACTTGTAATCTATCTGGTTAAGAATTTTCCTGCTGAATATTTTGAGATCGGTAGAGTATAGCTGCAAATGTTAAATGCCCTCCCAAGACAGGCAATATCTTTCTTATGCAGGTTATTTTTTTGTTCTGAAAATTTTCTTCTTTCTCTACTCCATTGTATTATAGATGCATCTAGCATGCTGGCTATTTAACCTAGGAATTTCCCATCAAGGCATCTGAGGGGCAGGAGGCTAGGGAAGATGGTAAATAGGAGCATATATTGTGGGAGATGCCATGAGGTCTCTTGAAGAAAAGTAATATACTTTTCTTCATATATTTGTGTGCACACACAGCAACTCCAGTATCAAAAAGCCCTGAGCCCTTTCTGCCAGGGGAAAGAAACCCAGTTTGTTAGTGTGTGTAATTCCAAAGAAGAAGAAAGAAATAGTATCTGTGTCCCATTGGTTTCCTTTGAATTATTTCATCAGAACAGATCAGACTAGTCGTCTCCACATGTCCAAAGGCTGATTGGCTCTAAATATTGATCTTCACTACTGAATAAAAGAGATCAACAACTGCACAAAAACTGAACAGGCGTTATTACCCACAAATTATAGTGGCAAATTCTGGATTTTAATTTAAGGTTTATGCAGGTCAGTCCTCCCTGTGTCTTTCTTGGGCCTGGTTTCGTGTAGAAGATGTTGATGAACACAGACCTTCAGTCCTACCCAAGATGGCTTCATCTTCCTCCTCATCTATGGAGATACAGCTTTCCACAGTATCTGAGGGACCACGTTCAGATGTGGGGGAATTCACCAATTCCTCCTCTAGAAGTCCAGTCACCTGAAGAAAAAAGACACCAAATGTGCCTGATTAGCCAAGATATAGGCAGAAGGCTTTGATATGGTCAGCAGCCTTAAAGAAATTTGCTTGGAAGAAGAGAATCAAGGATCCTTCTTCAGATTTTTATAATGAAAAAAAAAAAAAGATGGAAGATCATATAACTCAGTCTTCCCCTATGTATCTCCAAATTCCTTTAGTCCAGGGGTCTCCAAACTTGGCAGCTTTAAGACTTGTGGACTTCAACTCCCAGAATTCCCTAGCCAGCTATGCTGGCTGGGAAACTCTGGGAGTTGAAGTCCACAAATCTTATAGCTGCCATGTTTGGAGACCCCTGCTTTAGTCCAATGGACCAAACATCCATTATCACAGCCAGGCCTGTTTCCCAACTCATCAGAAAATTGCCTGAGGGAAATACTTTTTTTTTTTTTTTTGGGGGGGGGGGGTGTCATTCAGTTTTCTACAGGAAGTCCTCAATTTATGACCATAATGACTTTAGTTGCTAAGCAATGCAGTCATTAAATGAATTGTGTCAATTTTTATGACTTTTCTTGCTACATTTGTTAAGTTCAGTGTATCTGGCTTTCCCCATTGACCCTACTTGTCAGAAGCCTCCTGGGCAGGTCACAAATGGTTACCTCGTAACCCAGGGATGTCATAAATTTCTGCTAGTTGCCAAAAGCCTCATTTTTGATCATGTGACCGCAGGAACACTGCAATGGTTGTAAGTCACCCAGAGTCACTTGGTTGCATTGGGCAGCTATAGAAATTGAACGAACGAATGAAGTCATATTTTTCACCACCAACAAAATATACCTTTGAACAGTGGCTAAACAAATGATTTTAAGTCAAGGATGGTCTGTACTTTACTTTCCAAAATAACATTCAATAGCTACTATGCCACATCAAGCCTCACATCTACTATTTCTACATGTGCCTTTTTGGCATCTGCTTTTGTATTGAACGACTGATCCCAACTTGTTCCTGTTTTGACTGTTCATTGATTGTATGTCAGCCTGCATTTTTGCTTTCTTTCAAGCTTGCTGCCAGCTGCCATGGAAACTGTGTGTGTGTGGGGGGAGCACTGGGTATCTGGGATGAGAAACATGCAGGAAGTAGAAGTGAAATTTCTGAGAAGCTGTGAGAAGGCCTGGTCTCAGGGAAGTCAGCTTGAGTTGTCTAATAATTTTCAAGGCCAACTGTCCAGGCTTTGGAGTGTAGGAATGGTGCACCTGGACCAGAGACTTTCCCAAAACATTTTTCTGACTGATGATTGAACTCTGGTTGCCTGACCGGAGTGTGTGTGTGTGTCTGGGGTTGGCTTTAGCTTATTGCTTTGCGCAAATTTTCTTTAGATCTTGCCTGAACTTTGCTGTATTGAGTTCGTTCCTAGTAAAAGTACCTTTTCTCTAATCTATGGAGTCAAAGGGTTTTCTTTCCTAGGGATTGTAGAAGAGGCAGCCCTGATATTGTAGCTGAGGGACATCTAAATCAAAACAAACAGATAAATAATTGCTTTATGCTCCTTGAAGTGCCCTAAAATGCAGGTAAATCCAGTCCTCAATGCCTTGTTGTTTTCTGTTGGCGCAGCCCAGATTTATATGCGGTTAATTAAAAAAAGAGGCATGAGAAGACATATTGCAGAGATGTACGATCCTGGCCTACCTATGTCATCCTGCAAATGGTATAAATCAGGGGTCCCCAACCCCTGGCCTTTGTACTGGCACCAGTCCGCAGCATGCCAGAAACCAGGCCACACAAACAAGCGAAGCCCCATCCATGGGATGCAGGCAGCACATGAAACCATGCCCCCCTCCACGAAAAGACCTCTCACCATGGAACTGGTCCCTGGTGCTAAAGAGGTTGGGGGCCGCTGATATACACCACTACAGATGTCATAATAAATAAATAAATTCAATAAATAAATAAATAAATAAATTTAACATAAATTTAAGTGAATGCAACAGACTGCACAGGGGAAATAACTGCACAGAAATGTGTTTGGTTGTCTCTTAATCCCACTAAATGGAGGTTCATTACATCAACATTTTGCCATGCATCATCCCAAAGGCTTCTTTTCTTTAGATTAAACGTATCCAGTTCTCTTATCCTCTCCTTGGTGTTTCACCTTGATCAACCTCACCGGATGCTTTTCTCTGAACACATTCCAGTTTCTTTGGATGAACTTTCAGGAATAGTCTTGGTAGCTGGGTTCACACAATTTACTTAAAGTATGCTGCATTCATACAACTACTGTTATTTGAGCCTAAACTGAATCCAGAGACTGGGCTAATAAAAAAAAAACCTCAGACAGAGCATGTTGTGTATTGTGCACACCCATAAGGGATCTCCTCCATGCAAAATAGATTGAAACTACTGTATTAATTCACATGATTTGGAAATAATACTACTACTGTTTGCAACCTCAAACTCTATTTGGCTTTTTCATAGCAGACAATGGACATCCACATTTAGAAATTAAGGGCCACAAGAATTGGCAAAATTTGAGCCACATTTGGTTGCTAAATGATATACCCTAGTGAGAATACCTGGCTATATTTTGTAGACTTCCAAGAAGGCCACATTTTGAAGTCCCATCTCAAAATTGTGACATTGGAAGAGCCTGTTTTAGGCTGTTTTTGAACCATGCTCTTACCTTTTGTTTACAAGACTCTGTTTCTTGCAATCGAAGGAGGAACTTTTCTGCTAGGGCCAAGGCCTGAGAACATGTAGCCGGACCACTCTTACAGACCCAGATCTGCATCTCTAGTGGCAAGATGGTCAGGAACTGCTCCAGGATCACCAGATCCACAATTTGTTCCTTGGTGCGCCTCTCCGGCAGAAGCCACTGGCGACAAAGCTCCTGGAGTTCGTTCAAGACCGCTCGAGGGCCCTCGATTTCCTGGTAGCAGAAATGCCTGAAATGTTGGCGTTTTATCTCCAAGCTGTCAGGGTCAACTTCAGTCAAGGTCTGCTCTTTCAAAGGCCCCGATCTTGTCAAGTTCTCAGGGGCTTTCTGTGGTTCCCTGCTGATGCCCTGCACGATGGGCCTCCCCATTGGACGCCCTTCCTTGGACAACTGGTTGGGCTGTTTCATCATCCGATAGGAAGCCTTGAACGCCATCATGTCCTCCTCAGAGACCGACTCAAACAACCTTGATGGTCTCCAAACAGAATAAAGAGAAGGCACCATCGCCAATCCTTTCTGCTGTTGAGTTTTCTGGCTCTCTTGCAGGCCTATGTCCAGTCCCTGTTTGTTTTGCAGTAGAGCTGCCCCTGTCAGGATGTTTTTTGCAGTTTCCCCACGGAGAATACGAGAGTTTCTTTCCCCTTGGTTTGCGAAGGGCTTTGGCCCCCACAGGTGACACGATGCCATCTTAGTTGCTGGCTGGACAATCTGAACTGGAAAAAGAAAATTGCCTAATGATGAATGCAGTTTGATGTCTACTGTACATTTCAACCCTATGTTGTACTTGAATGTGGCTTTTAAAATAAATACTTTAGGGAGCAGCTAATGTCAGGCAGATTGACCTCAAAGGCTCTAGTTTTATCCTCAGGCTATAAGTAAGATTAGGAATATGAGAAGCCGAATCTTCTCTATGGGATCTTATGAGAATTGTGAGAAGACTGTGGGAATGCAACTCACTGCTCTCTCTTTGCATAAGCAAGCGTGACAAGTTCGTGGCCAGTTGAGAAAAAGGCAAAATTCCATAGGAATCCTGAATGCTAAATATTTGTTTTAATATGAATGTGTCAGATTCTTTTTTCCTTCTCTTCTGGGACAATTTTCATTATTCTGCTAAATAGCTTTCTCTGTAGGCGCACCCACCCTTTGGAATCAACTCCCTCTGGAGCTCCGGGTAGCCCCCGACCTTCGCTCCTTCTGCCGTGGGCTGAAAATGTGGCTATTTCATCTAGCCACCCTAGACTAATGGGGTTTTTAATACAACTTAATGGGGTTTTATTGGATTTTTGTCAATTTTATCATGGACTTTGTTTTTAACAGTTTGTTTGTTTTGTATATTATTGTGAGCCGGCTTGAGTCCTGTGGAGATAGGGCGGCATATAAGTCCAATTAAATAAATAGAAGGAAAACATCAGTGCATAAAATTGATTGGATTCTGGTCTTTAATTCTAAGATTACAGTTGCATAATATGCCCAATCAACTCAGTTACTATGTCAGAGAAAACAGCTGCCACTGTGAACTAGCACTAAACTGTCAGACAACCCATTCAAACCAGGGCACTTTTACACATACACATTCCTCCTAGAAAGTACACCGGACGGCATATCTTCTGCCTTCTTTTTATTGCAGTCCTGGATCCTACAGGGGGCCTGATTGTCGTCAGTACATTGCAGACAAAACTGGGGGAAATGTACCAGTCCTATTTCTTTCATCCCATTTTCCTCTGCTCCATTTCCATGGAGTTTGTGTTTGTGGAAAAAAAGGAAAAGAGAGAGGAAGGTCCTACATTACAGTGGTTCTGATTTTTGCAGGGCCATTCCAGGTCAATCTCTGCATTGGCAGCAGGAGGAAGAAATTAATCCTCTGTTAATGCTCTTGTCCCAATTTGCTTGGCCTAACTAGCAGGTTGACTGGCTGGTGTTTAGTGCAACCACCTCGAATCCCAGAGCTGTTTGGAGCTAAAACTGAATCCATCATCATACCCTACTACAGTAGATTTTATGGCACAGGTTACCTGAGGCACAGCTGCAAGAAACACAGTCTTACTATAAACAATGGATGGGCCTTGAGGATTTAGTAAAAATGGAAATAGATCTTTGAATAAAAGATCTTGGGAGAACTCAGGAAACCCCCCCCCCCCTTTATCCCTCATCACTATATAATCAGTGTAGCCTGGGGTGGATAAAAAGTAGATTAGGATCTATTATTCCACTATTGGATGGGTTTGAATAGATCAGCAGGGGTCTCCAATTGCTACTTAAGGAGCAAACACCAGGCCAGTTAATCCAAATTCTGAGGATACCTTTATTGTAGAGATGGAGAATCAGCAAAGCTCTGAAGTTATTCAGGGAAACTCCCAGCAAACCTGACCATTGTGAGGGATTCTGAATGTTGTAGGACATTAATATCTGCAAGGTGGCCATTTCTGTTTTATTAGGCCAACTGAAACTTTTTAAAATACTTTGCAACTTTCCAAGATTATTGGGCAACATAATTTTAAAAACCCAGAAAAAAAGGATGAGAGGAAAAAACAAGGCTTGTGTTTAAAACATGCATGTGCCCTTTTCCTGACTGTTTCATCAAAACAATTGCCAAAAAAGGGTCATTTTTTCCATTTTAAAATGAATTTTGGATCTGTCATTGTTACAACAGGGTAAGCATTGATTTGGGATCAGGAATATTTTTTTTTATATCAGTTTGGCTGCAGGCACTTCAGCTGTTTTGTTTCTTAAAGGTCTGGAGATGCTTATGAAAAATAAAATAGTTGTGCCAGTCCTTTAGAAAACTATTAAAAGCAATCTAGGGAAGCTCCAAAAGTTGGAGAAAACTAACCGGATAGGTTGTGGATTAAAAACTAGGCTCCTGATACTTTTCATTATTGAATTTAATTAATCTCTTTTATTTTGAATGTTACACTGGATGCAGGTGTACAATTCATTTTATTTTGATCCAGTGTACGTTTTGAATAAAGTGATGCCTTCCAAGTTTAAATGGGTATGTATGAGATCGCCTTCTGCCACCGATAGCCTCCCCCTGCCAATATGCTCCCAGAGAGAGGGACTCCTCAGGGTGCCGTCGGCCAAATGGCGACACCCAGGGGGAGAGCCTTCTCTGTGGGGGCACCTGCCCTCTGGAATGAACTGCCCCCCCCCCCCGGAGATCTGCATGATCCCCGACTTACGTACCTTTCGCCGTGCCCTTAAGACTCTTTTGTTCCAACAGGCTGGGCTGGCTTAGAAAATGAATTTTAATTGGGTGTCTGTAGTTTTTAACATAAGGGCCAAATTTTATATATTTTAAATTGTTTTTAAATTTTATGGGTATATGTTTGTTTTAATATGGCTGTACACCGCCCTGAGTCCTTCAGGAGAAGGGCAGTATAGAAATTTAATTAATAATAATAAAATAATAATAACAACAACAACAACAACAATAATAATAAAATAATAATAATAATAATAATAATAATAATAATAATAATAATAATAATAATAATAAACATAATAAAAAAAACTAAGGCTGATTTAGCAATATTCCGGGATAGCAGTTTTTGAATGGGTTTATAATACCTCCCCCGTGATTTATAATACCTTTCCGGTGCATTTTAATGTTTGGTTCATCATTTCCAACTCCTTAATAGCTAAGTCATCCGTTTAACCAAACTCGGATTACTGAGCAGATGGGAAACTTGGTTGTTTTATATCGTTCAACCTGAAATCATTACCGACCTTAGCAAAACTTACTTCTGGATAAGCAAGGGCAGGATTGAACCTAAGTTTCCCCCCCCCCCACCCTTCCGTAAGTGCGATCTTATTTCCAGATCAAGGATCCCGGATCATAAGTTTCTTACTTTCTCCCTGGAGGAGGGAGGGAAGGGAGGGGGGGGGCGGCTTTAAAATCACACGGGGAGAAAAAATCGATCCTGCTCCGAAAAAAAAAAAAGCACATCGTCACAAATCATACACTCGGGAGTTCTTCTAGCTATGGGGAGGCTGCTGCGCGCGAGGAGGTTTGCAAGCAATTGCTGCGAGCAATTCTGCAGCAAAAGCGCGGAATGCCTGCTGGAGCGGCTGGCCGGACTACAACTCCTATGGTGCCCAGCCAAGACCCCCCCTCTTTCCCCCCCTCCCAGGAACCCTTCCCAGCCCGGGCTTCCCTTCCTGGCCGGCGCTCACCTTCCCTTTGCAGCCTTTGCATCGCGCCCCTCCGCCGCTGCATCCCAACTTTCAGGAATCGGTGACCCTCTCCATGGCACCCGGGATGGAGAAGCATACAAAGGGCAGTTTCCCACCGAGGGAGGAAGGAGCCGAAGCCAGGACAGGAAGGAGGAGGAGGAGGAGGAGGAGGCGGCGGAGACGACGACCCTTCCCACCCATTTCCACCTTCCCCCCCTCCTCCTCCCGCCACAAATCTGGACCTTTCTAGGCAGGAGAGCTCGGTTCCTTTAACCTTTTGCGAAAAGGGACCGGCGCAGGCGCGGGAGCGGGAGCGCGCGGGCGTCAGGGGCGGCCGGGCAAAGCCCTGCGGGGGAGAGGGGGCGCGCGGGGGTGCGTGGGTGGGGGGGAGATGTCCGCGCGGGCGAGTTGTAACGGCTGGCACGTTGCCCGGGTTTTGGCGGACGCGCGAAGGGGGGGGGGCGCGGCCGAGTTTGCGTGGAAACCGCCGTGGCTCTGTCTGGGCACGTGGTGGAAGGAGGTGGGGGGAGTGAGTCTCGTTAATCCCGGTGGAGGAGCATTGCCCATAACTCGGCGCTTGCATTAACAGGTGTTCCTCGGTTTACGACCACACATTTCGGCTTACGACCACCAAACTTTCTGTGTTCCTAAGCAAGGCGGTCGTTAAGCAAGCCTTGCCCCATTTTACGACCATGTCTTGCCACAGTCGTTTGGCGAAACGCTGCAGTGGCGAAGTTAAGTAGCGCAATTGTTAAGTGAATCTGGCTTCCCCACTGAGGTTGCTTGCTGATAAGCAGTGGTAGTATTGAGCTGGTTCTACCCGGTTCGGGCGAATGGGTAGTAGCAGCAGGTGGAGGCTCCGCCCACCCACCTCTGGACGTCATCACAGACGCTCTGCACATGTGCAGAAGGCTCTGCGCATGCATAGAGGTGGTGCATGGGCTCACAGTTGCAAACCGGTAGTGAACGTAAGTGAATACCACTAGTGGTCAGAAGGTCACAAATTATAAAAGGTCACAATACTGGTTGTCCTTTACTTGCAACCACAACCGAGACCAACGTTTCTGTTGCTAAGTGAGGCAATTGTTAAATGAATTTTGCCCCGTTTTCTTGCCACAATTGCTAAGTGAATCACCCCGGTTGTTAAGTTAGTAGCACGGTTGTTAAGTCAATGGGTTTCCCCCATTGACTTTGTTTGTCAGAAGGTCGCAAAAGGGGATCATGTGGCCCTGGGGACACCACAACTGTCATAAATATGAACCAGTTGTCAAGCCTCCGAATTTTGATCACATGACCATGGGGAATGCTGCAACGGTCATAAGTTTGAAAAATGGTCATAAGTCAGTTTTTTTCAGTGCAGTTGTAACTTTGGTCACTAAATGAACTGAAGAGGGCTACCTGTACTGCTTTTGATAGATTGGACTATTTTTTCCTTTTGTGTATAGTTTTGAAATCTGTAAAGGAATGAATTAAGTGATTCGGCTTTTTCCTTGCTACCCATCACTTGCCTGCAATCTTCTCCCATTAGTGGACTGATTGTTCCTTTACTTCATTTTTTTAATATGTTGAAAGAAACATTTTTAAAAAATTATTTCTGATTTCTTTTTTTGCAAGTCTTCGTTCATTCTGAGCCTTAGCTTTCCTGACTTCATCTTTGCAGATTCGGACTGTAGGTTGATATTCTGCCTTAGTGTCCCTCTTTCCACTTTTTATATTTGTCCTTTTTGTTTGTCATAAACTTCTTTATGCAGCCATACTGGAATCTCTTATTTTTCTATTTCAGTAGTAGTCTCCTAGATTGAACTTTCTATAATCTCATTTTTGCAGAATTTTATAAGCTTTTTGAGTTGTTTTTCCCTCAAAGATTTCCACTCGTGGAATCCTTCCCAAGCGCTATCAACATTTGTTGAAATAAGCTCTCTTAAAGTCTAAGAAAGTAGTTTGACTTTGTTCTATTGCTTGTGCCTCACACTATGTTGAAATCCAATATGACACCGTTATTCTTTCCCAATGATCTGGTAACTTTAACCCCCTTCTATGGTTTCATCTCTAGTAGTAAGAACTAAGATCAGTATAGCTGACTTTGTAATTTGCTTCTCTACCTTTTGTGAAGTAAAATATCTACATAGAAGGAAGGAAGCAGTGGGGTACCACAAGGTTCTGACTTAGGTCTAATACTCTTCAATATTTTCATAAGTGACTGAGATGAGGGAATAGAAGGGGAACTCACCAAATATGCAGATGACACTGAGCTGGCAGGAATAGACAACACCCCAGAAGACAAGTTCAGCATCCCAAAAGATGTTGACAGTCTTGAACAGTGGGCCCCATCCAACAAAATGAAATTTAAGGTGGAGAAAAGCAAGGTTTTACACCTAGGCAGGAAAAACCAAGGATACAAGTATAGTTTCGGCAACATCTGGCTCAAAAACAGTAACTGTGAGAGGGACCTTGGAGTCCTAGTGGACAATCACTTAAATGTGAGCCAGCAGTGTGCGGCAGCAGCCAAAAAAGCGAACACAATCCTTGGTTGTATAAACAGAGGCATAGAATCAAAATCACGTGAAGTATTAGTACCGCTTTATAAAGCCTTGGTTGGATCACACCTGGAATACTGCATCCAGTTTTCGTCACATCATTACAAAAAAGATGTTGATATGATTAAGGGCCTGTAGACAAAAACATGAAGACTAGCTGCAGGAATTGTGTATGTCTAGTCTAGTGAAAAGAAGGACTAGTGGGGACATGATAGCAGTATCCCAATATTTGAGGGGCTGCCACAAAGAAGAGGGGGTTGACCTATTTTCCAAAGCACCAGAAGGCAAAACAATAATCAGAAGATAGAAACTAATCAAGGAGAGAAACAATCTACAACTAAGGAGAAAATTCCTAACAGTGAGAACAATCAACGAGTGGAAGAGTTTGCCTTCAGAAACTTTGGGTATTTCATAACTGGAGGATTTTAACAGACTGGCCAGCCCCCTGTCTGGAATGGTGTAGGGTCTCCTGTTTGAGTAGGGGGTTGGGCTAGAAGACCTCCAAAGTCTCTTCCAACTCTAGTATTCTGTATTAGGACCAGTATAGGTAACCCTGCAGTCTGCTTCTCTACTTTTTGGGAGACAAAGTTGTTTGCTATATTCGTCATCAGGAACCTGTTTGATCTTCCACTAGGTGCAGAGTTTGTCTCCCAGTGGATGTCAGGATAGTTAAAGTCTTCTGTTACTATTGCCTTATATCTTATCTATCCATCTTTCTTATCTATCCATCTTCGCTGACTCATTGGCAAAACGTTTGTCTATTCTGTTTGGTTTAGTGCTGTAGTACACACTTATGGTGATGTCATTTCCAGTGTTGTTGGGAACCGTATCAGCTCTGTTTTAGTCCTCTGCTATTTCCTCTGTGCTACGTGAGCTTTGAAAGATTACATTCAGTGTCTCTGAAATGATATCTGCTAGCTTTTTCAAGACCCCGAGATGTAACCATCAGGTCAAGGTGATTTGTATTCATCCAGGGTAGATAGGTATTCCCTTACCAATTCCTTCCCTGTTTTGACAGGAAGGAAGGAAGGAAAGGAAGGAAGGAAGGAAGGAAGGAAGGAAGGAAGGAAGGAAGGAAGGAAGGAAGGAAACCCCTAACATATCAAAAGCAGCACTAGTCGTAAAACCTGTAGACTACCTGTACACTACCTGTACACTACACCTGTAGTGTAACTTTATTATTTTTGGCTTTGTTACTAGTTTTAACTCATTCTGGGTTTTAGCTTTCCTGACTCCCCACTTGCAGGTTCGGGCTGGCAAAATATGCTGCAAAATAATTTGCAAGTGTTTATGGGCTACTGTAATGCTCTCTACATGGGGCTCCCCTTGAGGAGCACCCGGAGGCTCCAACTGGTGCAGAATGTGGCCGCGCGGGAGATTACGGGAGCGAGGGGGCGCTCCCATGTGACACCTCTCCTGCGTGAGCTGCATTGGCTTCCAGTGGTCTTCCGGGTGCGCTTCAAGATGTTGGTTACCACCTTTAAAGCGCTCCATGGCATAGGACCTGGGTATTTGTGGGACCGCCTTCTGCCGCCGATAGCCTCCCACCGACCAGTACGCTCCCACAGAGAGGGACTCCTCAGGGTGCCGTCAGCCAGGCAATGTCGGCTGGTGACCCCCAGGGGGAGGGCCTTCTCTGTGGCAGCTCCTGCCCTCTGGAACGATTTGCCCCCGGAGATACAAAGGATATCGGATCTCCGGGCCTTTCGCTGTGTCCTAAAAACTTTTCTTTTCCATCAAGCAGGGCTGGTGTGAACCCCCCCCCCCTTTTTTTTTTTTAGCTTTTTAAATTGTCAATGGGTTTTAGTTTGAATGTTTTAAATTTTGGACCAAAGTCATGTAATTCTTTTAAAAATTTTAAATTTTGTATTGGTATGTGTTTTAGTTCTGGCTGTGCACCGCCCTGAGTCCTCTAGGAGAAGGGCAGTATACAAATTGAATAAAATAAATGAATAAATAAATAAAATAAATGTCCCCTTAAGCAGCCATTTTATGAGAGGGACTGCCTCATTTCAAATGGGCATCCACATCCATTATGTAACTTCATCTTTTCAAATGTAGCTATTTGAGATCTCTTGCCTTAAAATACTTCCTTTATCCAATGACAGCTTTAACATATTACTCTTAATATTTAGGCAAAATCTGTGTTGTAATTCCAATTAAATTATTCAAATCTTTCCTCTATGGTAGCAGAAAATAACTCCTTTCTTTTCAGATACTCAAAAGTTCTTGCATATCCTTAATATTATATTTGCAGGTGAAATGTACCCAGCTCCTTGCATTTAGGAAACAGGACTCTAAGCAGCCCTAGAACTTTTCTCTGATATGCTAAATGTTCTGCATGCAGGGATTTTGAATTGTATTTAGCCTCCAATTCTCCCAATTTATAGATTATTCAGGTTTTATGTCTTTGTTTAGTCAAAGAATTCCAGCAACAACAAAAATTAAAAGGGCATTATTTAATAAGTACATCACAAAACATGTTGTATTTTCTTTTTCCATATTAAGAAAGTCACAAATTTCAAGAGACATAATACACTATAAAAAAGAACAGTCAGGAAATATGGAAGAAAATGGCTTCAAGAGGAAGAAAAGGGAGTGCCAGTATTTAAAGTGGTCCAAATGTAAAAGAAGAAAAAAAGCTGGCATACCCATTAGGAAAACTGGCCAAAAGTGTATCCAAAGAGAGACAAATAATGGAACATGAAATATTTGCGAAGATTTCATTTAGAATCTACAACTAATACATGTACAGAACTGTGTTAGCAATTCTCAGCCCACAAATCTTGACCCAAAGGGAATACATGTATATAAAAAAAACTGTATGAAAGGGCATGCCAGGTATGATTATGGAGGATTTTTGTTTTCAGCACAAAATACATTTTTGCTATACTGCAGATGGTGGCATTGAAGATTAAACAAGCATCCCAAAGCTACATATAAAGGTTTTAGACCAATGTTTCTCAACTGTCGCAGTTTTAAGATGTATGGACTTCAACCCCCAGAATTCCCCAGCCAGTCTTGCTAAGGTTGAAAAACACAGAGCCCTTGGTGATTTCTGAAGGTGGTAGTTTGCTTGCAGATGTTTCATTACCCCACTAGGTAACATCATCCCTGCGAAGTAGGGTGGAGCTTGTTCAGTTTACAAACAGAAGCTTTGCTCTGCTAGTGTTGGTGGGGGTGTAGTTTTGTCTGTGGTAGAAACCAATGAAGTAACCTAGTTGGGTAATGAAATGTCTGCATGAAAACCACCAAACTTAAAGAGCACTAAGGACTCCACCACTGAATCCTGAGCTACAGATACTCTCTTCTATTGAAACTGATTTGGATTATTGATTTAATGTTTTCATTTTTACTCTGTCCGTTGCTGGCCAGGGAATTCTAGGAAAGGAAGTCCACACCTTTTCATTTATCCATTATCAAATATTCCAGTATTTGAGAGGTTTGCCACTCATGCCCTCGTCACCTCCCGCCTGGACTATTGTAATGCTCTCTACATGGGGCTCCCCTTGAGGAGCACCCGGAGGCTCCAACTGGCGCAGTGCGGCTGCGCGGGTGGTAATGGGAGCGACATGGCGCTCCCATGTAACACCTCTCCTGCGCGAGCTGCACTGGCTCCCGGTGGCCTTCCGGGTGCGCTTCAAGGTTTTGGTTACCACCTTTAAAGCGCTCCATGGCTTAGGACCTGGTTATTTACGGGACCGCCTACTACCACCAATAGCCTCCCACCGGCCAGTACGCTCTCATAGAGAGGGACTCCTCCGGGTGCCGTCAGCCAAACAGTGCCGACTGGCGGCCCCTAGGGGGAGAGCCTTCTCTGTGGGGGCACCTACCATCTGGAATGAGCTCCCCCCCGGAGATACGGAGGATCCCGGATCTGCGCTCCTTCCGCTGTGCTGTGAAGACCTTTTTATTCCATCAGGCGGGCTTGGCCTAATTTCTTCCCTTTTTAAATATGCAAATTTTAATCTGTTTTTAAATTATTGGGGTGTTTTAATCTGTCTGGGCCAAAATGATTTAATTTGATTTTATCTGGTTTTTAAATTTTTTGTATTTATGTATTTTATTGTTGGCTGTTCACCGCCCTGAGTCCTTCGGGAGTAGGGCGGTATACAAATCAAATAAACCTAAACCTAAAGAAGTGAGGGCAATTAACCATGGAATGGCTTTGCTTTCAGAAGTTGTGGGTGCTTCCATCACTGGAGGCTTTTAAGAAGAGACTAGACAGTCACTTTCTGAAATGGTATATATAGGATCTCCTGCTTGAGCAGGGGGTGGGAGTAGACCCCCAAGGTCCCATCCAGCTCTATTCTGATTGAAATATCCCAATATAGCTGTGAAACTGAAACAATTTACCCAGCTGAAATCCACTGTTCAAATTTTTCTATGCAGGATTCATTCTCCAGAATCTCATTTTGAAGCCTAGGTGAGTTTTCTGATCCCAGTGAAGCAGAGACAGGAAGAAAGGTTTAAAATCCAGCCTTGAAATTCATTGATAATGAATCCCCTTGAAATATAGATTTGCCCCCTCATGGAAAAAAAAAATATTTACAGGACATGGTCCTGTAAACGGTCCATCTTTTAAGACGAGCCAGGTGTTTAAACCAGTGGCTATGCTGGCTAAGTTATTATGAGAATTGGTGTCCACTATATCTGCAGAACTATCAGAGCTGCCATCTTTCAATCAACTCTACGCTTCGCTAGATGTCAGTCTGCCATATCTTATGGGTGGAGGGAATTTGGCGGGGAGGTAAAGAGGAACCTGAAAGGAAGACATGGGAAATAGTCGTGCAGTCCTTGGGAATGGAATGCAGCACCTATCCATCTAACCAAACACAACAGGCACTGTTACCAAAACAACTTCTCTGAATGTAAATTGGTAAGGGGGGGGATGGGCCAGGGAAGGGAAAATTAACTTGGGGATTTTATTATTTATTTATTTATTAGTCCAATTTATATGCCACCCTTCTCCGTAGACTCAGGGCGGCTTACAATGCATTATAGCAATAGCCTGCATACTTTTTTGTATATACCTGCTTATTAGGGCTTTCGCCCCCCCCCCCAAGCGGTGTTGTTTTATACAGAGTTGGCTTATTGCCCCCACAATCCTGGTCTCAATTTACCTACCTCGAAAGGATGGAAGGCTGAGTCAACCTTGAGCCTGCTGAGATTCGAACCTGCACTAATTGCAGGCAGCTGGCAGTTAAGTGCTAGCACTTAACAGCACTTTAGTCCACTGCACCACCGAGGCTCTGTGGCAGTCAAACTCTTAGTTCTGGCTTTGTAATCAGCTGGCTTTTAGTATGTTGGAAGAACTATCCTTCTGGGTTCAGTTCCAAGTAGGGAAAAAGATACTGGAAACATGGAGACTGCTTGGAAAGACAGTTTAATGGTGGACAGGATCACGTGGTTTGAGTTCCTGAGCAGAAAAGGGCAGAGATGCTGAGAGTCCCTGGGTTTTATACCCTCTCTGGCTTTGAACTTCCTGGGGCACAGGAAGAGTATCCTAATTGGCTGTCGGACTCCCAAGGGGTGGGGGGCTTAGCTAGCTCTGCTGGCTGATGTAATCTCCCCAGGTGCCACGTGGGGAATTTCTGTTGCTAGATGGGTTCTATTGTATTGCAGATGATGGCCCATTGACAAAAGTGGGGGAGGGGAGGCAGGAAGGTGGGAGCTGCTTTGTCTTTAAAACATGTTTCTCCATTTCTCATCCAGGGAAATATATTCTGCCTTTTTAATACTTCCTAAAATATTTCATTCTTCTAGGAGAGGGGTGGGTGCTAACTTCCTACAAGTAAAAGTACCTTTTTCACTACAAATGGAGCCGAGAGTGTTTCTTTCATAAGAGACCAAGTTTGGGGCCCAGGTCTGACAAGAACTCTGGATTAGGGAAGGTGGCTTTAAACCCTCTTTTATGGCTTGCGGTTCTTTGTAGCACTCATTTTTACTGCATTGGGGTGGGGGGTGGGGGGGAAGCCTGCAGGAAAAGAGAGAAGATTTGCAGGGCAAGGAACAGATGGTAGAAAACAGTTTCAAACCTGCCTTCCCATGCCCCCAAGGCTTTTTAAATTCCTTTCTGATTGTGGTTCCCTTTCCAGGCTGTCAGCACCATCATCCCACCACTGTTTTTTCTCAGATTTTTTTTTTTTTTTTAACCACTAAAAGAGCAGAAGATGGAGAGAAAAAAACAAGGCAGGAGATTTTTAAAAAATCCATGGTTGTTTTCCTTTAGGAAAAATTGCCTTGGGGGTGGGTGGGAGAAACCTAATTGGCAAGTAAGAATCGCATGAACGACTTTCTCAGCTTCTTCTGAAGGGCACCCCTAGATGCTTTTGGAAAAGGCAATCGAATGGACTTTGCTTTTCCTTGAAGACTTTTCCCTTCCCATCCAAGAAGCTTCTTCATCAGGTTTTCCATGAAGAAGCTTCTTAGATGAGAAGCAAAACAGTCTTCAAGGAAAAACAAGGAAGTCCAGTTGCCTTTTGAAAAAGCACCTTTGGGACAACCATGACCTGCTGGATGACTAAGAATCTCCATAGACACTTCTGAAAGGCAGCTAATCTCCCGCATCTGGGCATCTCCAGTTTACTTGTGGATACCAAGAAACCATTTCTAAAGAAATGGATGGGAAAGAAGAGTTGTAACCCCTCCCCCCATTTATTCTCCCCTCCCAAAAACATCAGGAGGAAGTCAGCAAGTTAGGAGGAAGAATATCACAGCAGATAAAAAAGTTTCAGTAGATCCAACCCACATTTTATCCCAAGTGCGAAATGAGATACCAAATAAAATACTGCAAAGAGGTAATCCCTGGTTAGGAGACCTACTAACCATGACACTTCATTGTCTCCAGGACCTGCTTTATACAGGTAGTCCTCCACTTACAACAGTTCATTTAGTGACCTGAAGCTACAATGGCCCGAAAAGTGATTTATGACTGCTTTTAATCCTTGCGGTTGCAGCATCCCCATGGTCACATGATCAAAATTCAGACAACTGGCAACTGACACCATGGTGGTGCAGTGGTTAGAAAGGCTAATTGCAGGCTAATTCTGTTGACTGCCGACTGCCAGCAATTCGGCAGTTCTAGTCTCACTTTGCTCAAGGATGCCTCAGCCTTCCATCCTTCCGAGGTTGATAAAATGAGCCAAATTGTTGGGGGCAATAGACTGACTCTGTAAAACCTTTGAAAGAGGGCTGTAAAGCACTGTGAAGCGGGATATAAGTCTTAAGATGCTATGATAGTTGCAGTGCCCCTGGGGTCATGTGATCACCTTTTGCGACCTTCTGACATGCAAAGTCAATGGGAAAGCCAGATTCACTTAGCAACCGTGTTACTAACTGAACAACTAGTGATTCACTTAACAACTGTGGCAAGAAAGGTCATAAAATGGGGCAAAATTCACTTCTCTTGTTTAGCAATGGAAATTTTGGGCTCCAATCACGATTGTTTGTAAAGGACTACCTGAATAAGATCGAGGTCAATCAAGTATCAGATTTCAGCAAGGGTGTTGTCCCGGATCCCCTGATTCTTCAAGTGTTGGGCTATAGCCTAAAGTGGCAGGACAGGCTGCCCGCTTCCCCCGGTGAACTTTCTTGTGCTTGGTGAGATCCGAGCTCGAAATGAAACGCTTCCCACACTCAAAGCAGGCGTAGGGCTTCTCCCCGGTGTGGGTCCTCTGGTGAGTAATCAGGGAGGATTTCCGATTGAAGCACTTGCCACAGTCCAAGCATTTGTGGGGTTTTTCCCGCGTGTGGATGATATTGTGGTTCAGAAGATTGGAGCTGGTGCTGAAGCTTTTCCCGCACTGGAAACACTGGTAAAGGTTCTCCCCGGTGTGGATCCTTTTGTGGGTGATCAGGGGCGCTTTGGCATTGAAGCTTTTCCCGCACTCGGAGCAGCTGTAGGGCTTTTCTCCCGTGTGGGTCCTCTCGTGGATGATGAGGTGAGTCCTCTGGCTGAAGCTCTGCCCACAGTAGGAGCACTTATATGGCCTCTCTCCTGTGTGGACCCTCCGGTGCATCATCAGGTTGGTCCGCGTGCCGAAACCCTTTCCGCACTCGGAGCACTCGTACGGCTTCTCCCCCGTGTGGATTCTCTTGTGCGCGATGAGCGAGGCGATCTGGTTGAAGCTCCGGCCACACTCGGAGCAGTGATACGGCTTCTCGCCCGTGTGCACCCTCTTGTGCCTCAGAAGCTGGGAGCTGTTCCCAAAACTCTTCCCGCACTCGGGACAGGCGTACGGCTTCTCCCCCGTGTGAGTCCTCTCGTGGGTTATCAAGGACGACTTCCAGTAGAAGCCTTTGCCGCAGTTGGCGCACTTGTGGGGCTTCTCCCCCGTGTGGACGATGTTGTGGTAGATCAGGTTGGAGCTGGTCGTGAAGCACTTCCCGCATTCGGAGCACACGTAGGGTTTCTCCCCCGTGTGGGTTGCTTTGTGCTTCAGGAGGGCCGCTTTGGTGCCAAAGCTCTTGCTGCACTCTGAGCACGGATAGGGTTTAGCCCTGGCCGCAGTTCCCTGGCTGGAGGCTCCATTCTTGAAGGTTTTCCCACACTGGGGGCAGATATAACATTCTTCCAGGTCCATTTTCTGATTGTTAGGAAGGTCATTGACCTCACAGAGATGTCCACACTCCGTGCATTTTCTTTTGCTTTTATTTTGGATTCGGTCTTCTTTGACAACGTGTCCATCACCACCTTGGCAAAGCTTGGTTTTCTTAGGATGGTCTTTTTGAAAGCTCTGTTCTGGCTGATTTTCAGGCTTGGTCTCCTTCTCATCATGGAATGGGAGAAGTGTCTCTTTGGCCAAAGATGTTTCCTGCTCAAGGAATCCATCTTCTTTTGTCTCTGTGTCGTTGTTACCTGCAAGCATCAACAGGGACGTGAGTTACAATCCAATAGTGTGGCGTATCCATCATTCCCCAAGTTAGGGTACAACTATAATCTACGCTTCATTAAGTGAAGAAGATAAGATGCCAGTTTCAAAACTCTGTGTAATTCATCAAGTTTAGGAACACATGTTTCATTAAAGCAAAAGAAGAATTTCACCCAGTTCTGGTGCTTTCCCGTTACACATTGTCAAAAAACACTTCTTTGATTTTATCCATAGTAAAAAAAAAAAAAAAGGAACAATTTTTGGCAGAAGGGAAATCTAAATTTTGGAATGTCAACTTTATCTTCTATACCTATCTTCTATATCTATGATCTAAAATCTTCTAACAAAAAGATTCTCAGATTTACAATACATGTCAGAGTAAAATTTTTAGACCATTAAAGGCACCAGTTAGAAACTGGGAGACCAATAGTTCTAGTCTCACTTTAGGCACAAAACCAGCTGGGTGACCTTGTGCCAGTCATTCTCTCTCAGACCTAGAAAAAAGGTGATTGTACACCACTTTGGAAATATTGCTAAGAAAACTATAAGAGCCAGTCCAGGCTGGTATCAAGACTGACTCAAAGGTACACGCAAACAAATATGTGAATATTTGTATCTTTGGGAGGACTACATGTAAGGCCCGTTTCCAATGGTTGTGTAGGGAGTCATGGAAATGACTTTGAAATAACACAAATGATGGGAGCATAACTGGCTGGGGAATTCTGGGAACTGAAGTCCACACATCTTCAAGTTGCCAGAATTGGGAAAAACTGCACTAGAGCAGGGGTCTCTAACGTTGGCAACTTTACAACTTGTGGACTCCAACTCCCAGAATTCTGGGAGTTGAAGTCCACAAGTCGTAAAGTTGCCAAGGTTGGAGACCCCTGCACTAGAGGATAAGAGGAAGGGAAAAGTCTAGCCTGTCTCAGCAAAGTTCCATAGTTTGTTTCCTGACCTGGCTTACTTTGAACTGCTGACAGGCTGTGACCATTCTTTCATCATTCTTCTGTTTCAGACAGCATGTCAAGATCCAGCCACATCGTTCACTGTTTTCCTATTATCTTGGGAAACATCTTTTTCTCATTTTCATCATGGAGAAGGACAACACCTTCTCTATGATCTGTACAGGACCAATCCTAGTCAAGTAAACATATAAAGAATGGTTGCTGGAATTGGGTATGTCTGGTTTAATGAAAAGAAGGACAAGGGGTGACATGATAGCACTGTTCCAATATCTCAGGGGCTGCCACAAAGAAGAGGGAGTCAAGCTATTCTCCAAAGCGCCTGAGGGAGGGGGGGGGACAAGAAGCCATGGGTGGAAACCAATCAAGGAGAGAAGCAACCTAGAACTAAGGAGAAATTTTCTGACAGAACAATGAATCGGTGGAACAACTTGTCTCCAGAAGTTGTGAATGCTCCAACACTGTAAGTTTTAAGAGGAGATTGGATAAGCATTTGTCTGAAATGAAGCACCCACAACTACTGAAGGCAAGCTGTTCCATTGGTTAATTGTCCTCACTGTCAGGAAGTTTCTCCTTAATTCCAGGTTGCTTCTCTCTATGATTAGTTTCCATCCAGTGTTTCTTGTCCTGTCCTCTGGTGCTTTGGAAAGGGCAGGACAAGAAACAATGGATGGTAACTAATCAAGAAGAGAAGCAACCTGGAATTAAGGAGAAGTTTCCTAACAGTGAGAACAATTAACTAATGGAACAGCTTTGCCTTCAGAAGTTGTGGATGCTTCATCACTGGAGGCTTTCAGAAAGAGTATGGACAGCCGCTTGTCTGAAATTGCATAGGATTTCCTGCTTGAGCAGGGGACTGGACTAGAAGACCTCCAAGGTTCCTTCCAACTCTCTTATTCTGTTAACAAAAAAAGTCATAACAAAAGGCAGTTGGAACACCATGGTTACTATTAGGATTAGAGATATGTTGGTATATATTCCTCATTTAAATATAGCTCCAAACAAACCACCAATCACATAACCAACTGACCACACAAGGGCGTGCATAAGCGCACCAGCGTGCCTACCGTCCCAGTCCTAATGTTTTATTTGTATCCTTTTCATGTATTTATAATTATGTTTATACTTGTATCTGTCATAAAATACATGCTTGACTAAATAAATAAATAAAAAAAAAATATCTAAGCTAAAGAGGACTAGGACAAGAAAATCCCACTGATGAGGTTACCTAGTCTGGTAACGAAACGTTTGGGAACAAAATGAAAAACAAGCTCAGGCAGCAAGCCACTGCCAAAATCTAAAACCCGAGCTACAAGTATTTTCTATTATTTCATACGTTGGTGTCTTCAGAAGCTATGACCTACCCAAGAAGAAGGTTTCCTTATCACTCTTTGGCTTGCCATTGTTGGCTAGTTGCCCCTTTCCTGGATCATCAGACAGCCGCTGCTCTGAAATGGGGCTTTTAGCAGGCATGTTTTCCAAAGATTCTGGCATCTGAAAGCAAAATATCGAATGAAGATTCAAACAGGAACCTGGTCAAGATGGAGGCCAGAGCCTCCTGTGAGAAAATGTGACATTTTTCCATTTAAGCCAGTGCTTCCTAAACCTGGATAAAGTACCCCAAATTGGGTTAATAGTGGTTTTTCTTTGGGTAACCACACACAAACCCATTAGCCATCACAATGGGAACATTTAAATTTAAATTAACAACTGCAGTCATTCACTTAGCAACTGTGGCAAGAAAGGACATAAAATGAGGCAAAACTCGTTTAACAATTATCTCGCGTAGCAAGAGAAATTTTGGTCTCAATTGTAGTTGTAATTGCAAATTGCCCAGCAGTGGGGCAGATACTTCCATTCTCTAACTTAGACCTCTCTCCTCTTAGCAGGAAGTGAGTGTGGATCATAAACCCCTTTCCTTTCCTGGGTGCTTCTGGCTGCTGGGGACTGCAGCTCCCATTAATCATAGAGATAACCAGAGCATCTAAACCAGAGCAGCCACCAACCTTCTTTGGGCCAAACATCCATTTTCAGAAGCGCACAAGGGCCTCATTATAGAAAAAGGGTGGGAATAGAACAAAACCTACATGTGGCTGATGTATTCAAAATTACTTCAGATTAAAGCACAACCATGGGCATTTCCCATGGGTTTAACAAGTTTGCTCTTCTGTTGCAACAAACATAATTGGCAACAATGCCAGGGGTGTCCTACAAAGGCCCAGGGTGGGGGAAAGCTATTCTAAAGCTCTTTATGTTATGTCAGCCCACTAATTCAATACATCTTGCTCTGTCTGGCAACAGATCTCCAAAAATCTTTCCCAATCCGTTAGATAAGCCAGAATTTGAACCCAAGTGATCTCCCCATTCCCTTCCCACCCAACAAATCATATTGGAGAGCACAATCCAGTCCCCACACAAACATTATTCCAAGGAGGCCAGCAGTTTGCGCATCCTTGGTCTCTCTCTGGAGAGCTCGGCTGGCATTCCTCTGGTTGTCTTGCTAAGAAGTCCTCAGCCAGGGCCACCGCCTCCGAACAGGTCTCGGGGCTGCTTTCCTGGACCCAGCTCTGGATCTCCACGGGCAGGATGCTCACAAACTGCTCCAGAACCAGCAGCTCCAGGATCTGCTCCTTTGTAAGTTCCTCTGGTTTCAACCACTGGTGGCAGAGTTCCCAAAGTTGGCTAGCGGCCTCTCGAGGGCCTTCAGCCTGCTGGTAGCAGAACCGTCTGAACTGTTGGCGCTGCCTCTCCGAATCAAGGATGTCCTGCAGAATCTCCTCCTTCACGTTCACAGGAAAGTTCAGGTTTGCATAGGCCTTGTGTGCCTTCTCCCAGAAGCCTGTCCTAGTTTGAGTAGCATATTCTTTTCTAGGCCACCGATACCCTTCCTCCACTCTTTCCAAGGAGGATGGGCTTTCTTGACTGCCAGGCCTTAATTTGGATATTCGATTCTTCCATCTTGGATAAGGAAATGGCGGGCAGGTCAACAAATTTGGCCTGGGCTGGCCTTCCCAGCCCTGCTGGAGCCCATCTGCTAGCTTCTGTTTCGGAAGTGACGGTGTTTCCTTGGCCACAAACTTCACTCTGCTCTCTACACAGGTGGCATCGCGGCCTCTTCCTACCTCTTCCAATCTCTTCTCAGGTTCTCTGGATCCTGCCCGGTCTTCTTCCTCCATTTTTTAAAAGTTTTGGTTGGCCCTCTGGGAGGAAAAATATATACACAAGCAGGGTTAATAACCACAATGCAGCACAATTTCACAACCATGCTCCACCAGCCCATTAGAGTAGGTGAAGAACTTTATTTTTTCTTGTCTAAGGCAGCGGTCACCATCTGGTTGTCTATGGACCACTGGTGGTCCGCGAGAAAATTTTGGTGGTCTGCAGAAAAATTATTTGCAAGTCAGGGGTCCTCAAACTACGACCCCTGGGCCAATGAACGCTTGTGTTACTGCAGAGAGTCTCTCCCTTTGGGGTCTTTTTGTGTGGGTTGGAGGGGGGCAGAAATTTTGACTTGGGGTCTGCTTCAGCCTCCTGGTGTGGGCCTTTGGGCGAAGGCTGGAGGGAAGTGCCACTGATGGCGAAGAGCTGGAGAGCCTTGTTCCAGTGAGACTGCATCATGGCCTGGAACTGGCTGACCATCTCAGCCGGCTGAACCTCCAGGCGCCTGTACTTTGCACTCCTGCAGGTCTTCCCTCTGCTTGGAAAGCCTATGCTCGTAGTCCTCAGTGAGGTGCTTCTGCTGAGCCTCCTTCTCAGTCAGATCCAATTTGAACTGAGCCAGCTTTTTTGCCAACTCTTTCTCATGGTGGCTGCTCAGCTCCAGCAACTGCTTCCTGTTGGGGCCCTAAGGAGCCTGGGTGGGGAGGCGAGGAGTGGCTGGGAGAGGTGGGGCGAGTAGAGGCTTTCGAGGCCCCCCTCGACGTGAGTGACATCGAGTTGGCCACGCCCACCCAGTCACATAACCACCTAGCCACACCCAACCACCCGGTCATTAGGCAGATCATATTAGTGGTCCGCCGGATTTAAAATTATGAATTTAGTGGTCCCTGAGGTCCGAAAGGTTGGTGACTCCTGGTCTAAGGTAACATTTTCTCAAAATTCATTAGGAAAGTTAAGTACTAGTTGAAGGCAGAGCCCAAACTTGGGATGAGTAGGATGAGCCCAGGGCTTCCTTCTTTCTAGCTAACCCAGGAGGTGCTGGAGAAGGAGCCTGTTTTTGCTAGAGGCCTAAATGGAAGGCAAAGAAAATAAAACAAAGAATCACACAAAACTAAAAGGCATACTTGTTTAGTTCTGCAGAATGGGGCTCCTATGTACTGTAGCTCCACAATTAATATCGAACCTCATGTGTGGTCTTCTTAAAGATACATTAACTCAGTTCTTCTCAGAAACTTCGGATAGGCTGAAACTGGACTTCTCTTCACTCTGCAACAGGAGACCCTTGGTGAATGTTCAGGCCTTTGTCCCAAAACAGTCAAAAACTGGTGGACTACCATTCTCATCCCAAAGAGTTGGGACTACAACTCTCAGCAATAGCCATGCAGGTTGGGGATGATGGGAACTCTAACCTAGACTGCTTGCAAAGTAGCAGGTTGAAAAGGTATCGAGAGCAGCATTTCTCAATCTTGGCAATCTTAACATGTGTGGACTTCAACTCCCAGAATTCCACTGGCTGGGGGAATTCTGGGAGTTGAAGTCCATGCATCTTAAGATTGCCAAGTTAAAGAACACTGGGGTAGAGAAGAGTTAGCTGGACCAGATATCTCAGTCAGATAAAAGAAAGACAGTCTTCTACCCTTGCAGTCCTTAGCCTTAAAGGCGTATTTCCCTCTGCTGCTCTCTAGGGATTATGGGACCTGAAGTCCAATTGGAGAAACCTGGTTTGGGGAAAAGCTATGCAAAGAAATGTGCCTTCCCCCTTTTAAAAAAGGCTCCCTGTGCTTTGAAATGCTGAATGCATTGTACAACTGGTTATTAGTTGCAGCAGGGTTTTGAATGTGGGTTATGAAAAAAAAAAATCTGCATTGCCATTTTTTTTTAAAGTAAAATTTCCTGCTTTTCCTGCTTCTTTCTGCTCTCTCTCACTTTGATCCTGCAGCATATATATTTTTTTTTGCATCGTCCTATCCCAAACGAAAGGGGGAACGGATCTGGGTAGGAGGGTCTTATCAGCTTTACAGAATCTTTGTAACATCCCCCCTCCCCAGCGCCTCTTATTTTGCTTTTATGAGCTTCGCGTTCCCACCTGATCGCCCCTTTTCCCTTCAAATTCTCCACCGTCTTTTTCCTTCACTCACTTCCACAGCTGGGTTGCAGTCTTGCAAATCTGCAATATAAAATGCCCAAAAAAAAGGGGGGGGGGGTAAACAGCAAACAGTAGAAAGGTGGTGCTTCCTTTCAAACCAGCCATCCAGGAGGAAAGACAGGAAGAGGAATTCAGTTGCAGCTTTGGAGGGAGAAAAAAAAAAAAAAGAAAATTTTCTGGCTCCATCTAGGAAGCCGAGCTCTGTCATTTTAACCCCTTCAATCTCTGAGATAAAAGAAATTGGAATGTAAGTGCCAGACTTCAGTTTAGCAGGTTGGGCTTCATTTCTTTCTGGTGAATCCCTAGCCAAAACAACCATCGGTATCTTGAGTGGGCTGAAGTCAAGTCCATCTAGCAGCCTGGTTAAATATTTCAGCGGTTGTGGCTTCCACCTGGCAGCCAGACAGGCCAGTAATCAAAGCCTTGAAAAGACCACACCTAAAATACTGCATCCAGTTTTGGTCACCCCACTGTAAAAAGAGATCCTGAGACTCTAGAAAGAGTGCAGACAAGAGCAACCAGGATGAATCGGGGACTGGAGACTAAAACATATGAAGAACGGTGGCAGGAATTGATTATGTCCAGTCTAGTGAAGAGAAGGACCAGGGGTGTCATGATAGCAGTCTTCCAATATTTGAGGGGCTGCCACAGATAGGAGTCAAGCTATTTTCCAAAGCACCTGAAGGCCAGACAAGTAATAATGGATGGAAATTGATCAAGGACAGATTCAATCTAGAAATAAGGAGAAATTTTCTGACAGTGAGAACAGTGAACCAATGGAACAGAAGTTGCCTTCAGAACTTGTGGGAGCTTCCTCACTGGAGGCTTTCAAGAAGAGACTGGATTGCTATCTGTCCAAAATAGTGTAAGATCTCCTGCTTGGGTGGGGTGGGGGGGTTGGACTGGATGACCTCCAAGGTCCCTTCAAACTCTGTTAATCTGTTAATCTTGCTGAAGGGGGGGTATTTTTTCCACTCACCCCTTTTTATACACATTAAACAGTGAAGGGGTCTACTTAGAGCAATGGACAGAATGGCAATGGATTAATTAGTCTCACAATGACTTCCAAATTTGCTTAGAATGTACTGCTCTGTCTCTCCATTCAGCCAAAAAGGCAGTTTGAGGTTTTATTGATTTAGTATATGGCATCTACAGAGGTCTTGCAATCACTGATATACAACCCTAATAAAGCGGGTGATGCATATAAATACAAATATAAAGTTAAATAAAACATCAGCAAATATATACAGGCAGCCCTCGATTTGCAACAATTCGTTTAGTGACGGTTCAAAGTTACAGCAGCACTGAAAAAAGTGGGTTATGACTGTTTTTCACGTTTATGACCGTTGTAGCATTCCTATGGTCACGTGATCAAAATTCGGAGTTTGGTAATTGACTCGTGTTATGACGGTTGCAGTGGCCCAAGATCAAGTGATCCTGTTCTGTGACCTGAGAAGCAAAGTCAATAGGGAAGCCAGATTCACTTAACAACCGTGTTACTAACTTAGCAACTGCAGTGCGTCACTTAGCAACAGTGGCAAGAAAGATCTATATTGCATTGTCCACATACTTTATATATCATACTGTAGAGAAAGTATCAGACAATACAATACAGTAGTGGCCAAAATTGTGGAAACGTTTTTGGAGAAAGTGTATTGTCTAAAACTAACTAATAACACCACTTTTTTTTGGGGGGGGGAGTAGTACCATAAAATTATATATCAATGGAAAGATAATTTAATCAAGAATGTAATGCAATAACTTTTATGAAGGATTTGCTATTAGAATAGCAGTTACAGTATAAAGAAGAAAAGTGAAACACGTAGAAAAAACGAGATATACAAAAATTATCACCATGTCAGTTAATACTTAGTTGGGTAACCTTTAGCATGAATTATGGCCTTACAATGTCTTCCCATGGAGTGAACCAAGTCTTTCCATTCTGCAGCTGTTATAATGTGAAATGAAGATGGAGTGATTCCTTCTATTAGCTGGGTTTTATTGCTGGGTCACTTCTGACTACCAAGTTTCTTTAGTTGACTCCATAGATTTTCAATTGGGTTAAGGTCTGGGCTATTCCCAGGCCATTCCAGCAGTCGAATATGATTATCTCGAAACTCAAAAAAAAAAAAAAAAAAAGTGGTGTTATTAGCCATCAAACATCAAAAATACACTTTTCCCAAAAGGTTTCCACAATTTTGGCCACTACTGTAGAGATAAAATATTAAGTTAAGCCTATGATAAAATCACCTTAATATGGTGCCATAGAATCACTGTAGGATAGACGTTATAATTAGTATAATTACTGATTGTATACACAAAGTATAATTTTATTACATAAACTATAATTACTATAGTTGACCTCAAACTATGAGATGCTACATTCCCATCTTTAACATAATTTGTACTGTAATACACAAAGAATGGTGGCTTAGCAAGCAGGCAAGCCATCCCAAGCACTGAAGGGAGATCTCAATTTTTGTATGGGTTTCAAACGCCTGTCCATTTATGGGCCAATGGGCGACATCAGAGATCAGCTACTAACTTCTCTGTCTGGACTGGGACCAAGGAAGCAATGATGCTTTTGACCTGGGAAGTGACAATCAACCGGATGTTCAACAATCTTTGTCCCCCAGCCTCCCAACCCTGTGGCAGCCCTTGCTATGTTTTCACTTCATCAGTTTATTCTTTAAAATTCCTCTCAACCTATTAATTCCTTAAGTCCTCTGCTTTTGCAATTCAAAAGTCCTCCATTCTTTCTTTCTAATGGCCATCCATCCATTGTTGACTCTCTGTCCCCTTGTCAGGCATACTTTTAAAGTACTTTTAAATACCTCATTCAAGATACGTTAATGCCTCTTTTGACAGACCCAACTTCTCATTTTCATAAAACTAAGCGGGCACAATGGCACTCTTATATACAGTCAAGTCCGCAGATGTTTTGCACCAATATGGCCCATCAAGAACATTTGCATTTCTCCATCAAACCCCACCCCCACAAAGTCAGTCTTGACGCTTAGCAGGTAACATGGATAAGCCCACACATTTTTATTGGCAAAAAAAGTTGGCAAGGTTTTCAGAAGTGATCTTGCTAGGATTTTCTTCCTAATATTAAGAGAAAGTAACTGGTCCAAAGTAGTTTATTTTACTTTTAGTTTACTAAACCAAAAAAGCACTGTGCAATGGGTAACTTATTCAATCATCAGAAACCTTTAGGATCTATTGCAAATCACCCAGGAGCGTACCAAGAGAGCTGTTTCTCACAACTCTTAATTCAGAATGCAACGAACAATTACAGGTCTGGTGCCTTCACAATCAAGCAGGGACCAGTTGTGGTTTTTAAAAGGGAAAAGAGGTTCTGCTTTCCTTTGGGACAGGCCTAGGAGGTAGGCTCGAGTTTGGTTAAGACACCAGCCAGAAATCAGGAGATTGTGTTGGAATGCAATGGAATGCAAGGGAAGAGAGGAGAGGAGAGGAGAGGAGAGAATTCTTTATTGGCTAAGTGTGATTGGACATACAAGGAATTGTGTGTAATGATCAACTTTCTGGATTTGTAAAACACCATCTTACATACTAGGTGAGTTGGAAGAAACCTTGGAGGTCTTCTAGTCCAACCCCCTGCTCAGGCAGGAAACCCTACACCACTTCAGCCAAATGGTTGGTTATCCAATCTCTTCTAAAAAACTTCCAGTGTTGGAGCATTCACAACTTCTGGAGGAAAGTTGTTCTATTGGTTTATTGTTCTAACTGTCAGAAATTTTTTCCTTAGTTCTACGTTGCTTTTCTCCTTGATTAGTTTCCATCCGTTGCTTCTTGTCCTGCCTTCAAGTGCTTTGGAGAATAGCTTGACTCCCTCTTCTTTGTGGCAACCCCTGAGATATTGGAAGACTGCTATCATGTCACCCCTAGTCCTTCTTTTCATTAAACTAGATATATTCCATTCCAGCAACTGTTCTTTAAATGTTGTAGCCTCCAGTCCCCTGTGCCAGGTCCTCTCTCAACTGTGCCCAGTTGGCTTGGCTCGTCTTCCAGACTTTCCTACTAGCTCACATTGAAAAGGATGGGCAGATCCAAGACTTCCAGAGAGTGTCTGTGACTGAGGACCTCACCACTTGGCTTTATTCTACAGTCACGGACATCTTTCAACATCCTTCATTCTGCTGCAGCTTGAGAAGCGAGGGTCTCATTGGTGAAGCCCTGTAAACCAGGAGTCTCCAACCTTGGCAACTTTAAGACTTGTGGACTTCAACTCCCAGAGTTCCTCAGCCAGGAATTCTGGGAGTTGAAGTCCAGAAGTCTTAAAGCTGCCAAGGTTGGAGACCCCTGCTGTAAACAGTTCACATATACCCTTCACACAAAGGTCCTCTTTGCCTCTTCGGCTCTCCCAAGGGTTAAATCAACCGAGCTGAGATTTCACAGAGCGGTTATTTGAGAAGACAGCCGAAGGACTGGTTGCAACTAACAACAGCTTTTCCCTGTGCTGCAAGGAGATTGAATGTTTCACGGGGAAATTTTAACCTCTGGCCAGCTGTGATTGCAGCTACGACCAGCGTAGAACGTTAGCACCCACCCCTCTCCTAGAAGAATGAAATATTTTGAGAAATATTAAAAAGGCAGAATGTTATATTTCCCTGGATGAGAAATGGAGAAACATGTTTTTTTTAGAGGGAGAAAGCAGCCCCCACCTTCCTTAATAGCCCTCAGCAGATGTCAGTACTTAAGAGATAAAGAGATAGATAGCTCTATTCATAAGCAAATATCCTCACCCAAGATCCAACACAAGAAAAAGCCATTAAGTCACAATAGGAATTACCCAACACCCTTTCAGAACACAAGCCCCTTCATTGCATCATCCTCAGAAACTTCAACCACGACTTCCGGTTTGCGAGCTTCGGCGACGGCGGTGACTTTTTAAAGACCGCCAGCCCCGCCGCCTGTAGAGCCGCCCCGCGAACGAGGTGCGGCTCGAAAACTCCGAAATCTTGAAGATTGCAGGAGCAGAGACAGCAGGGTACAGGTTGAGCCCCTGTAACCCCCCCAGGGAATTGCTTCTGGGGGTGAAAACAGGTGTGGCTCCCTTCCAACCTGCGGAGACTCCGGGCGGCGTGGGACGATTCTGCCTTCAGCAGAACAAGCCGGCAGCAGCAAACTTTTAAAGTGAGAGGAATTAATTTTAACAAACAGCGGAAATATCAACTTGAATCCAGAAACTTGAAAACTGCAAGTATTGGTGCTTTGTTGACTTTTTAAATCAAAAGAGAAAGTGAGCGAGTGAAAGTGATTTGGAAAAAAATGGCGTCCAGCGTTTGAGTTAACGAGCTAGTGAAAGTGG